TAATAATTATTTAACTCAATTTTTCAACATTTATTTATGAACATTGTATCAAATGTTAAAATCTAGATTTTAAATCTGAATAAAATATTTATCAATATTGATTTAATAATCTTTAAATGTTTTAAATATATTTATTTAACTAAATTAATTAATTATTTCATTTATTTAAAATAATTTTAATTAATTCATTGATTAATTATTCTATTGATTATTATTAATTATTTAAAGATTATATTATCAAATATTTAATCATTTATCTTAAATCATTTTAATATTTTCTAATAAACTGAATTCCTTGTATTATATTTCATTTAAATTAGTTTAATTTCTCTTTAATATTAATCCCATTAAACATTCACATCTTCTAAAGGTGTAAATTAAGCTGGATATTATTAAATGCATTTAACACAAGCCATTCTTGGTTATAGTTACAATTTGAACTCAAATTAAAAATTATGATTTCTTTTATGTGTTCTTAACAAATAAATTTTAATTCAGGTATTCTCTATTAATATATAATAATGATCATTTTAATTAATTTAATTTACTATTCATTAATTTATTATTCTTAATATTAAGATAGTCTTTCACTATCATTTTCAAAAATAAATATACTTTATTATCATTCAACATTTCCTATATCTTTATTTAAATAATTCAATTGACATTTTATATTATTAAATATTTGAAGAAATATCCTATCTATATTTTATTTTAGTTCACTTAATAATATTCAATTCCATTAAAATTATTTAATCAATTTTTATTATCTTTAATTATTTGATTTTATTTGTTTATTTTCATTTCTTTAATCATATTCTTTGTATCATCAATCAGATTTATTTTCTTTTTATTTATTTTTTCTATCAACATCTGACACAAAAGCATCTATCTTCTTAAGTAATCTACCTTTCTAAATCAACTAAAATTATTTCTAATTTTTGTTTTTAACACATTTTCATATCCTACTATTCCATTTTCAATTAAAATTATTAATTAAATTTTTCAAATTAAATTAAATTAATTTTTTTATATTATTAGATTGTAATAAATTAAAACCAAAGAATATCATTTCACTTGCTTAAATATCAATTATACTCATTATATAATTTTAGTTTCAAGCTAGATATTTGTAATTAATTTATTCAATAATTTAGTCATATATATCTCAAAAAAATGAATAATTAAATATATTAATAAAGCATTAAAAAATCAATTACTGATATCGAAGATAAAAATAATAATATATTAAAAGAAAATCCTAAAAGATAGATATTAAGATATTAAAATATATGAATAATAGATTTAATTTTTTTTTTAAGGATGAATGTTCAACTCTCATTATAGTTTATGGTCAGTTTAAAGAAATAGTCATGCAACACAACAATTGCCCTTAACAAATAAATTCGCTATTATGTATATCCCTAAGGAAATTCGATAATTCTGTAACTATACTGATATATTAAGTAGGTTTTATGAGAAATTATATAATTCTATTAACTTTAAATTAAAAAATTCTTATTAAAATTATTATTGAATTAATTTCAACTTAATCAATAAATACTATATTTGTTATGTTATTAAATAATCAAGGAATGATATTTGGTATTCAATAAATTATTTGGAGTCTTACATGTGTTATAAAAGTATTTAAAATAAAAGATAAAATATTATGTTAAACTTAGTTGAAATACTTAATTATTTAAGACTTTATAATAACAATTAAAATAATTAATAATGATTTAGCATATTCTTCTTAGTGACAAGTAAAATGAAGGCTATATTTTAAGTTAGATATTAAATAAACTACCAGATCTTAAAAATGGTCTCTAATCTTATTTCGTGGTAATCTTAAACTCTTGGTAAAATGAATCATAAAATAATAATACGATTTATGAAGTAAAAAATAAACTATGTTTGTAAGATGTTTTGTATATTTTATCTATTTTTCTGCAGTATTTTTTTCTACAGATGATTCTAATTTATTTATAGAGTCTTATATATATAAATTTATTGAAAGGAAATAAGTAAGAGTAAAATCTAAGCCATAAAATGAAAACTAAGATATATTAGAATATAATAAAACAATCATAAATAGCTTAACACTTGATTAACTTCTAAAAAAGTTAAAGTCTGCTGTAATATATTCAACTTATTATTTATTTTTGGAGCTTAATCATTTATTAATTATTAACAAACTAAAAGATATGAAAAATCACTAATCAGTTAATTGGTAGATATTACTTTTTTTTTATTAACTCACAGAACAATTCTTGGTTTGCAGGTTTGGATAAGAAATTAGTTTCTTTTTTTTAGCAGAAGCCTTAATATTAATTAAAGTAGGTGTGGCTAAAGATGATGATAAGAAAGTAGTATTGATTATTTCATTTTGACCAAAATTGAAGTGTTGAAGCTTAATTCTCAATAAAATCTTCAAATATTTAGAAGAAAGAAATTTTGTAACAAAATCTACAAAGAAAGAGT